CCCAGAAACATGTCATATGATCACCCATAAATATGCCAAAATTCGAACATTCAATGTGAAAACATCTCGTCCAATTATTCCTCATTGCTCAAATGAAGTTCTCGTCAAATCGGTTATCGTGAGCGCTCATGATCACGGAAAAAAATAGTTGGAAATTTGCAAATTTGTTTGACTTCGACCGTTTAGTAGAGTGTGAAAATTGGGAAACGAAAAACTGAACATTAACAATCGACAAGTGTCTGAATCAAAAAGCGAACTTCACTGCGTTTCTCATTCGTATTCACCAATTCTCCGTTGTGAGCAATCGCTACCAAGCCAACGGACGTATAAACGACAAACGGTTGTACGCAATTGATTGCGTCCTTCATACCAGCCGTTGAATAGCGATTATGACCAAGCATTGCAATTGAATCTGAATTAAGTTCACGGTTCATCTGCACAGGCTCCTAACAACATCGGAAGATGCCATCCTCTCATGATGTGTTTTAATAAAATGCGGAACATACCTTTGAATTTGCTTAAATTCTCAGCATTGTAAATTTCTCGGACGAGACCACTGCCCTTAACAATATCGAATTGATTCCTGTGAACACCATCGGTTCCAACCAAACCTGAGCTTTCAGTACCTCTGCAATAGTGATTTGAAAACATCAAAATCGTAGCTCGAGACAATCAACAGTGAATGATCTCTGCATGAACAAATAATGATCTACACTGGCGATTCACTAAAGTCTCCAGTCGAGGCGCGTCCAATTATTTTTCAGTTATAAATAGTTAAGATTCAATTCCTTTTGTGGGATGAACAGACAAACTTCACTAGTGAGAACAACATCTCATTACGATACATTGCGAAGGCTTAAATTTTAGCATACCGATGCTGCAGGTCCATAAGACCATCGACGGCTATGCCCGCTAAGCCTTCAGCTGGACTGGCATCTTCAGCCAATATTATACCCAATATACCGCACATTTACCGGAGTGACAATGATATATTGGTTGTGCCTAGTTTGATCTCTAAAGTTATCATTTTTGCAGTCATCATTAATCGTAGTTTAACGTCGATAAACGGAATCGCTAATGTGATGATGCGTAACTTCAGATGAGGTAAAATTGTGCAAATCGAAACAATGAAAATGAATACCCTCAATACGAAATTTGAGATACACATCTGTCATGCAACAATGAAGCAATATAGTGATGATGTCTTAGGCAGCAACTAATAATGAACTTAATATTTAACCAAGTTGTAGAGGCCAAAAATATTTCGACTTCAACATTTATACGTCAACACACAGAAGTGAGACGAACACTTTTTGCAGTAGTGATTTCCTGGGAAGAGTGAACAAGTTAGATGAACAATAGCAGATAACACGAACGAACCATAAGCAGCTCTTCAGCGATTTGTCAACAGATAAGATCGACCTTACACCACTAAAATGCCTGATAAGGCGTGGGTTCAGGTCATTTTATTGCAGAGATAAACGCATAAACACAAACAGTGATTAACCCTCAGCGGTTCCGCTCTCACAAGAACTTCTCTTTCAGTTGCGTACATTTGAGGATTTCGCAGAAAGTTTATCGCATTTCATCGCGAATCATGGTCATTCACTATTCACATGGTAGATTCGATTTCTTCTCAGAATTTTATTCAATATAAGCGTTTTCAATATAAAAGCATTTTCACAGCAAATTTTTTGGTGCTCTGCGGGGTCATTCAAGTGAACGCGTCATGAAAACGTTACAGGAACTTCCGTGATTATTCATGCATGAAAACTTGTGGCTAATATTCGATAAACCTGTTTGTGAGCACTCAAAAATTAATTTATTGAGAACAAAACTATCGCACAGGAATTGTTCGCTATCCACGAATGATGTTACAGTTCATTGAAAGTGGTTTACGAACACATCGAAAACATCATTAATCATTATTAATTCTTAATAACGGTTCCTTCCACATTAGTTTAAAAAATTTTTTCACAGATCAATCAACGATAAAAACATTTGATGAAGTCGTGAACCATAATTCTCTTCCAAACAAATGAAGGTTTTTTAGTAATGCGGTGAATTGCGAGAACGTTCAACATTGAAAAATCCAAAAAAAAAATGAAACCAATGATACAACTTTTGGACGGGAAAAATGAGAGAAAATGTATGATTTTGAAGCTTTGCTTAAAATTA